AGAATTTAATGCATCAAACCTAAAAAACGCATTCCGAATGAATGTCATCGCTCATCGTACATAACAAAAATATTCCATGGTTCAGGTCTTAAGTCAGTAAACCTTTCGTGCATTCATTGCTACTAGATTACAGAACAAAAGACGCCCTCTAAGATGGCCGCTACGCGTGAGGTCGATTCAAAATATTAGCGGGCTAGAAACAATCAGGCGTTGAACTACAAGGAGCTGTTTGCAGTTGACCGACCTGCTGAGGTGTCAGGAGAAGATTCGTGGCGAGAATTCCTTGAAGGGCTGACTTCTCATCTCGTCATTCATCTTGCAATTTCTTGCCCCTCCTCCAATGTCATTTTTTTACTGCGTCCAGCCCGCAAATAACTTAGGTGTTAATTTTTTGAAAGTAGGCTGCAAAATGTACTAAATCATACGGGAAAACCTGTAAAAAAAATTGAATACAAAAAGGACATGGCATTCTCACCAAATTTCGAAACATTGTTTAAGGATTGCAAAACGATATGGATTATGTACACGCGACCTTGCTCGGACAGAAACATGCAATATAAGCCTGTTATCGTTCCTGTTATGTGTTTATTCCGTTATTTATTTTCTCCCTTCGAGTAACTATTTCCCTCATTTTTAATCAAGCCCTTTTTACATAAGTTTAATCTAGTCAGTCCCCCGACCAACCCCGCTTAGGCATCTCCGGTATGCAATTACGTAATATCTTTGCTCGCGCCACCCCGGCGTGCGGGAGATTCGAATCAGTTGCCTCCACGCTCCCGATCAACTCACTACACATTTCTGTAGCCAAATATTTGTAAGTATTGTTACTTTAATTTATATCCTGTTTATTTCTGAACATTTAATTCACCGTAAGCATTCATCCGTTTTTTATACTACTAGTGTCTGGCTCGATAATCATGGATACATGTATTTTAGTTTATGCCGAAATGTCTATCATTCCTTAGAGCCAACGCCTTCATTTTACAGGCCTTCACCCCGGTACATGGAAATACAAAGTATGGATTCTTATTTGGGTTAACACTTATAGTAATATTATGATTTATATCGTTGAACTGTGTATCAATGTTGTATGTATATTTATTTGCTATTTATATCATTTGTACATAGCCCCAGAATGCCGCAGTAAACCCCTGTACGCCAAACCGTGAAACCCGTTACCTCACTGTGTGCGCTGACGATTCCTTACCCCGGGAACGATTGTAGGTTTATAAAATATCAGTGGTTACTTTATTTAAATAATTCATTGGATTAATTGTATTAAAGAAATTGTTGTCTCCTCCACTACCGATGATATTGTCGATAAGGTGCTGCCCATTTGTAATTGGTCTAATGATCCCTCTAAAGCTATATATGTAATTGTTAAATAATTGAGTCTGGTGCTTATATGATTGTATTATGAATTTTTGTATTTGCCTTCGGCTTTAGTTTTAAACTTCTCTAGCGAATACATCCATCTTGATGTGCGAATACATCCAGAGGTGCTTACAGTGACGGGGCCTAATACCTCCAATTTGACATACGAACTTGGTTTGAATATTCCTACTAGCATGGCATAGGGGAAACATCGGTCATGGCACTTCCAGGATCAAAAGAGCCTCCCTTGTAATAAGATGAGAACAATAACTGGTACTATTAGGGTTAGGCCTAAGACTGAGCTCACGGATGCATTAATCTGAGGGAAAATTCAAACAATATTCCTCCCTCAAGCCTCCCCTATCATTGATGGTCAACCACTACCCTCCCCCTTTCCCTTCAAGTCTCTGAATCGTCTAAATAAATGCATAATTAGTATTTTACTCCCCCTCCCCTCCCCCATACCCACAGATTGTATGAGCAAGCATCGCGTTTAATTCCATATTTGATAGTTTTATTGGCATTGACCGGTAAGCAAACTATAGGTCTTTTCAAATACATCAAAGACGTCATCGACAACGACAGACTTCGCTCACTGGTCTCCCCGGGTCAAAGGGACTAAGATAACAAAAATGCCGTCTGTCTTACATAAAGACAGACATAGGTTTATTTATTGTTTTATTGTTTTTCGTGAGCAAACAAATCTAAACTAGGGTATTTTTAAGAGGTCTACTCTACAGGCGTTATTGACACCTAGCTGCTGATAACGACAGACTTCGCTCCTTCGTCTGCAGCTATTGCAGCAATTAATTCCAAGCCGAAGTGACTACTAAGCTAACAATAATGGCTTGCCCTACATCAAACACTTCAAAGGATGAAATAGGCCCACTTTATTATTTTGATAAACAATATTGATTTGTTCATTTGTGTAGAAATCTCCCTGTTTGTGAGGATCGCTTTGGAATGCAATGTACCCCTACCAATAATAAATATGTTAGCCGATGTCAAAATCCGTAACAATTTCAATTACAAGGATTGTCATTTTGGATGTAAACACTGATATAATGTAGCGATTACGCAACAAAGGGAAGTGCTGGTAATAAGCCAGGATTCTCAAGAAGTTTGAGTAAGAATTCGGAAGGTGTATTTGAAATTTGGTAAATATTTTGATTGGCTAAAATGCTAACATCTGGGTAAGATCGAACATGTCTCTGGCTAGGTGTAGTCAGCCTATAGAGACACCCCTATGTGTAGTCAGCTATTAAAATGTATTTAAAAAAGAGGGCGCTGTTGCTGTGGTGTCACTTTGGGAGCGCACTCTTCAGATAAGGACGCTTCTCTATATATACAAATTGTAAATTAATTTTTATTGGCAATAGCATGAAAAACGTAGAGGCACCAAAAACGCCATGAAAATAAAGTTAAATGGAACATACAATTACATTTCAATGAAGATTTCCATTGCAAGGCCTTTAATGTTAACTCGGAGTAATAATGACAGGTTGCAAGGGGGGGGGGCTAATGTTTGTCCTAAACAGCCAACAGCTATATGCGTCCTCAATATCAATATCCACGAAGTAACCAACTAAAGGAGACAAAAACTGGGTGAACCATAATGCACTGCACTTTTGTTTAGTTCATATCTCTGAAGACGACCCCTTGTTACCTGTTAATATTACCTTCATAATGATAGGTTCGGTATTAAAGCATGACAAGTGCCAATATCAATACGCGTACATGCAATACGCAGTACGATTTGCGAACTATTTTCGATCTGAAATATGGTCCCGTCAAACGTCAGGTGACGTTTCTGGCATCACGCGATCACTTCACACAGTAAAGCCGAAGTCACAACTCAGGCCCCACTAACAGTCAGCCAACGACAACGCTATATTTAAAAACTAAACCTTATTATTTGATGAACATCGGTGGATTTCTGTCTGAATTTGCACCCAGAACCCAGTGAACCGTCCATTACCGAGGATGTGATATAGCTGTTTGCAAAGATCGAATCGTCCGTAATGAGTGCAACAGGTAGGAAACGTTAGTCCAAAAACAAATAACTGAAACAAGTTATTGCCAAAATACTGATATTAAAATCACAAGGTTGTGTAAAATTATCAACAAGACACCGTGTTACTAAATTTAATTCAGAAACATTTCTTATTCATTCATAAATATCTTAGACGGTTGACCTGTTCCTATTGGTAAAGAGCTCGTCACGTGGGTCGTTTAAACGGTTGCTTTAACACCGGAGGATTGGTCATAAACATTTTGTAATTGGGACTTCGAAATTGAAAGGCACATACCATAACAGAGCAAAAGGGTGTTTCAAGAAAATGAGGTAAAATTGTTCAGCAAAATCTTTAGAAATATATTTCTAAATATATATGGGGTGTATGCAATTTCAGTGGGCCCGAGGACCTCTGTACTAGTCCTCGGGAGGATTTCGTGTACAAACCTTATGGAAGCTGTCGAGAAAAAGTCGACGTAGTACAAACAAAAGGGAACAAAAGTAGGAAAGGAGCAGGTCCTCATGAGAATAGTAAGAACGAGCTGGGTCTGCTGATGTGTGTGTTACGTGTTGTAAAGATGAGATTAAGGCAATATAAATCTTTGTAGGTATACACGAGGTATATACGAGGCTTCTTACACTTGCGAAATACCAATTTCTGTTGAATTGCTTGGCGTTGCGTACACGGGCCCGGCTCACTTGGCCCACTGTATATTGAAGCACTATTGCAGGACTACTTCGATAGCGTTCAAATGGACTTTCATACCAGTGTCAACAACACTTAGCAGACAAACGTAGCTTTTATTCAACTCATTAGTAGGGATCCGAGACCTGCTAGATGCTAACCTACTTGTGGTTAATAATTCACAACTTTGACCTGTAAGATAACCTCAGCTGCTAATGCATACAATGGTAGTATGGGCTACGAATGCACGCATAGGGGCAACACGAATTGTATGGATGAAGAGCTGTTTTTTAAACTAGTACAAGTACTTACTGTACTTTGTTCCTGGTCTGTCTGTCTGTCATTAGTTGTCGGTCTGTTGATTGGTTTTCGTTTAGTTGCTCATTTTTGATTGTTTCTGTCTTCCCATAATGGTCTTGTTATACATTGTACTTGTCACCTTCTTAAATTTGTATTGTCTTTTTATCATTTATTATATTAATCTAGGTCCTTCATATGCCATTTTTCCCCTAAGCATGTATCTTTTACTTGATTAGTTTGTTCTTACGTTTTAATGCTAATGTGCTTGTACTTTTACTATTTTATTATTAATAATTTTAGTGTAACAATATGTAATTTTGAAACTTTGTTTTGTTTTTGTAATTTTATTTTATTAATTTTTTTTGGTTAATGATTTTTAAGCGCCTTGAACGTCAATTTGAAGGATTTGTATACGTGCAAGTTGTGGTTCACATCAATCAGTAAATCTTGACGTTCAAATATGAACAAACACACTTAAGAATGTGTTCCTATAATGACATCACAGCAATTAGAGCGTCCTCAGTTGTTAAGAGAACCAGAAAACCACGGTTAAACATGTTCAATGTTTAAAGGGGCACTACGTCCTGAAATCCCCTAAAATTTTATGTTTTGGATTTTTACTTATCCTATTGTCGCGAGGTGGCAACCCCAACGATGATAAGGGTGGTCAGGTTCACCCTCATGAAGATAGAGTAAGGTGGAAAGCAAGTAGAATTGAACTGGAACACTCAGATGGTTGTTTACACTGATTCACTTGATTAAGTTTTAATTTAATTCACTTTCTCCATTTATACAAAATAATCCAAATGAAGATCCGAACAAAGATTCCAATAAGACGACAATGAAGACCATAAAAGAAGACCCTGTTGACCATGAATAAAATGAATTGATCTTAAACTTTTGTAAGTCTTGTTCCAAAGTCATTGGATTACATTAATATTATAAACAACAGTTATTTTAATTACACAGCATAAACTATAAATAATATAGTTGTTTTGTAGACAGTGTCATGATCACTCCAAAATAATACTAAATAGGATGACTACTTAATCAAGCATACAAAGAGAATTACAGTCTTACCCTGATATAAAATAGAGAAGGCCTGTAATGCACTTGAGATGTCAACCTTCAAAGCTTGTGACAGCAATGTCTCAGCTATAAATTAAAATACATAAAAATACAAATAGCATACACGGGGAACATATTTAAGGAAATAGCTTCTATCATAAAAGGTCCCCTGCACCAATAAACAATGCGACATACACGAACAACATTTCGAAATAAAGCGAGTAGGTCTAATTCCACAGTGTGGTCGAGATTCAACGTTGTGCTGTGCATACGCACACTACGTACTGAATGTACACAATGCTGAACTCAATGTCGCCATTATATAATGCATTGTACAGTGAATGTGTACGAAAACGGTCATTCAACTCTAGAAAAGTTTTGACACTTTCACACAAAACTAACATCCTAAAAACTATAAAAATAAATCAGTTTGACAATAATCATATCAACCAACCTCTTCTATGTCCCTTACCTGATCTACTCAATACTTAATTAGAATCCAACTTACCCCAAAAATGAGGGAAAAGTGGGCGACTTTTAGACAAAGGTTGGCTCGGTCTGAGCTTCTTTCACGGCCCGCTCGCAAGAGGACAAACCATGTGAGCGGTAGCGCTCTTACCGTAATGCAATGACTACAACCCCTCGTCGCGCATAAAATTGACTCAGAAGGAGTGTTAACTTTGATTACTGACAATGATGATGACATACTGTTACCAAATAATCATTCTCAAGATAGAGTTAACAAATGACCTAAATGTCGACGAACATATGTCCAAACTTGTTAACTAGGGCAATTAGGCTGGCGGGGTAAGTACACTAAAAGGAACAGCCAGAAAATAACATTGCATTATTCATGCTCCTTATGAATTATTCATTATTTTAAACCCAAAAACCCATATCGTTACATGTTCCCTGCTTCAAACTACGCGACCTCGAGTAGTCTTTTAAACATTTCAAATTTTCACATTGATAGCAATCATACTATACATCTTTTTAAATGTGCTAGATTAGCATTACCAATCATGAAAACAAACATGTAAGAATTTCAAGGATTTTTTTCCTACATTTCTACATGTAAATACCCATAAGCAAAGATATCAACAATGCAAATACAATGTATACGGTATAGATCACTTAGAAAAATGTAACATCAACAATCGAAACAAATGCAAGTCGTCATTCAACTAACTATACAATTACGCTGCTGGTAAGTTTAATATAAGAATCATGTTTGAGTAGTTTCACTTCTCCAACAAGAAGATTGCAATGTTTTTCTATCCCGTCACTTAGTTTGACTCGCTGCAGAATAACGGGCAAATCAGCAACATGGCTAAAAGAAACATACTTTACAAATAGTTCGTTGTACAAAAGGTTCCAGCATAACTTTAAGTATAAACTGTGGGATCTCTCACTCCAATTTGTTACTGGAAAAAGAGCAAACAGTTTAAGTCCCTAAAATAAGTAAACCCCGAAGGTAATGAAAATACAAAATATATCGCTTTAACTTATATGCGAACTATATGGCATCATATATTGAACTATAATGCAAACTCAAAACTAGCTATTACAATGTAAACCCGGAGATGGCACAATGGCGATCCTGCGGAAGCAGGCAAATCTCACTATCTAAAACACGATCTGAGACTTATCAGACATCTGAACATTTTTCAAAACACACCTAAGTAATTGCGGTAGGCCAGCGACCAGTTCGTTTTTTACAAAGTTCTGACCGCTGCGCGCCAAGCTCATCTACAGGCAGCAGAGCTACGCCATGCATGAGATTGGAAGGCTTCGCTTGCACACTCGTGTCTGTGTCTACCTTACGCGACCAATTTGGAATCGACTGACAACTGGAAAGAACAACTTCAGAGGTTGTTTCACCCGGCCCATCTATATCTGAAGAGGAACTGTAACCCAGATCAATGTCTGTCTCATTTTCATGATTGACAATTGGGCTTACCAAAGAATCTTGGCATTCAAGAGGTTTGGAATCGTCATTTACCTCTTGTGACATCACAGGAGGGTCAACGGCGTTCCCTGCTTTTTCCTGCGCTTTAATGTTCAATGCAGGCATTGCGAATTCAGGGAAATCAGAACCCGTTTCACAAGAACTGCTCACTAGGCCTTGGTTATAGTTAGCATCTACAAGTTCATGACATTGATGCTGGATACAAGTTTGAGCAACATGGCCTTGCTTTAAACAGTGTGAACAACTGGGAGATCGCAACGACTGCTGCGAATGGTCAACACTTGGTGGCTTGGGGATATCTCTGATATGCTCACTGGTTTGCCCCTGCTCAGGTATTGTGTCACCTGGGCAATTTGTACTCTGCTCCGCTACAGCGGTAACTGGATGATCAAAATAAGGGTCAACAGAAATCGAGCAATTTGCTGCTTTGTTCAAATCTACAAACAACCCAAGAGCCACGTCTCGAAATTGATAGAATGTGAGGTCAGGATATTTCATTCCTAATCTGCGCAACTCTAATCGCACACATGAATCCAATGCTCCCCCAATAAACTGTTCCCTCAGACTTCTTTCTCGAAGGCAAGCAAGAGCTTTTCCTTCTTCAGGATTCGAGGCTACTTTTTCTATCCGATCATACAGCAACATCAAAGCACGACCAAAATCAGCTAATGATTCATCTTGTTTCTGCTTCCGAGCATAAAACATGCTCCGGAGAGAATGAACGGTTTCATGGGAACCAAATCGTGCTTTCAATATTCCAACAATCTTTGAGAAGTCTTTACGATATTCAGGAGGACTACAAAAGACTTCCTCTCTGGCAACGCCACCTAAATGATCAATAGCTACATTGACTTTGGCCGTATTCTCAAGATGACATTCCCTACAGTATGTTTCAACATCATCCAACCAATCCGTAAGGGTGAGATCCCCTTCATTGTTAGATCGGCCACAAAATATGGAAATATCCACTGTTGGAATGTTTTCACAAATTAATGTTTGGAGAACACTAGTCAGAGCCTTCTGTGACTGTACTATGATATCCATAAGGGCTTCTGTAGATGTCATTATGACTGACAGCCTAACCAATGGCTACAATAACACAAACAAAAATATGTGAAGGAATGTCAACTTTGATTAAATCATATTATGGCTAATCCTCACGTTGATTTTTACAACACCAATGTCCATGTGTAATCTGTACACAAGATTACATAGTTACCTACTAAGGAACATAAATTCTGCAATAGTTCAGCTGCAGTAAATTTCCCACATCAAACAGGAGGGAATCAAAACAATGACATGGTGGTTTTATATTTAAACAACAAGTGACCAAACAAACCGGGTCTAGGACCACAGAAAATTCGCCCAAACTTACATAGACTCTCCACTAGTTGGAGACAAAGAGGGTCGATACACACGGTCACAAATCAATAGGGACTGGAGCAATGGACCTGTCAATCATTAAAAATATTGCTTCACAAAAAAAACAAAGAGGGACTCGAAAATTCACAGCCCTCTAAATACTAAGTGAAAGCACTAATGAGGATCATACATACAAAGATACCAATCAAGTTTGCACACAATGCTGTTTTAGAGAGGGAATTTAAACATACACATGTTCCCATAGAAATAACAGCTTACAAAGTGATGAATCCTCAATAATGAGACCGACAAATCCTGCCCTCTGCCATTACAAGACTCTCTCATGTACAACTCAATACATTGTAATACAATGTAGAAAACACTCAAAGTAGTCTGCAATTAACAGTACCTGTGGTCAATTAACACTGTATGTATATTACATATGTGCAGACACTAAAATATCAAATCTGAATGATCACAAATGACTCAAGTACAAATGTACTTGCAAATATGCGTCAGTGGTAGTCTCAACTTAAACCTCAAGGACCACGATTGTCAAGCTTGTTATAATAAACAAGAAATTTCAAACACTTCCTGACACAATAACTAGTGCATATGTGGTCAATTGTTTACAAATAAATATGTGGTCAGTGTAATTTGGAAAATGCTACCACAATTAATAAGCCATACACAATAAATTCACATGTTGGAAGAGAGATGTAGTCTTGACTTGAATGATGCCAAGATCAGGGATCAGTCCACCAGCACATGGATATGGCCGACGCTTAGACTTGAATCATAATAACGGAGGGAATATGCTCCATGAAAAATGGTCGGCCACATTGGGGAACAGGCGGACAATAAATTGACCTACATGGCCAACATTTTTTTTTATACATATCCCAAAAAGGGAAAGAACAACAAATATATCAGGGGTCTGAGAACAAAAAGAAAAAAAAACTAAACAATTCTGTAAATCAGAGATGACGAAGATTAATCTTGCTTGCTTGAAGTCGCACCTTGATCCTGTCTACGACGCCAAAATTTGTCGCGAGGTGGCAACCCCAACGATGATAAGGGTGGTCAGGTTCACCCTCATGAAGATAGAGTAAGGTGGAAAGCAAGTAGAATTGAACTGGAACACTCAGATGGTTGTTTACACTGATTCACTTGATTAAGTTTTAATTTAATTCACTTTCTCCATTTATACAAAATAATCCAAATGAAGATCCGAACAAAGATTCCAATAAGACGACAATGAAGACCATAAAAGAAGACCCTGTTGACCATGAATAAAATGAATTGATCTTAAACTTTTGTAAGTCTTGTTCCAAAGTCATTGGATTACATTAATATTATAAACAACAGTTATTTTAATTACACAGCATAAACTATAAATAATATAGTTGTTTTGTAGACAGTGTCATGATCACTCCAAAATAATACTAAATAGGATGACTACTTAATCAAGCATACAAAGAGAATTACAGTCTTACCCTGATATAAAATAGAGAAGGCCTGTAATGCACTTGAGATGTCAACCTTCAAAGCTTGTGACAGCAATGTCTCAGCTATAAATTAAAATACATAAAAATACAAATAGCATACACGGGGAACATATTTAAGGAAATAGCTTCTATCATAAAAGGTCCCCTGCACCAATAAACAATGCGACATACACGAACAACATTTCGAAATAAAGCGAGTAGGTCTAATTCCACAGTGTGGTCGAGATTCAACGTTGTGCTGTGCATACGCACACTACGTACTGAATGTACACAATGCTGAACTCAATGTCGCCATTATATAATGCATTGTACAGTGAATGTGTACGAAAACGGTCATTCAACTCTAGAAAAGTTTTGACACTTTCACACAAAACTAACATCCTAAAAACTATAAAAATAAATCAGTTTGACAATAATCATATCAACCAACCTCTTCTATGTCCCTTACCTGATCTACTCAATACTTAATTAGAATCCAACTTACCCCAAAAATGAGGGAAAAGTGGGCGACTTTTAGACAAAGGTTGGCTCGGTCTGAGCTTCTTTCACGGCCCGCTCGCAAGAGGACAAACCATGTGAGCGGTAGCGCTCTTACCGTAATGCAATGACTACAACCCCTCGTCGCGCATAAAATTGACTCAGAAGGAGTGTTAACTTTGATTACTGACAATGATGATGACATACTGTTACCAAATAATCATTCTCAAGATAGAGTTAACAAATGACCTAAATGTCGACGAACATATGTCCAAACTTGTTAACTAGGGCAATTAGGCTGGCGGGGTAAGTACACTAAAAGGAACAGCCAGAAAATAACATTGCATTATTCATGCTCCTTATGAATTATTCATTATTTTAAACCCAAAAACCCATATCGTTACACTATTTTAAACACCTGGTTGAAAAGAAACCAACCTCATGCCTTACCGTACCGGAGAAAAGACGAACAAAATCTGTTGTTTACATCGGACAAGTCGGAGTATGATACGTGTTTCCTGTCGTTTTCAAACCATTCTTTTTCTATGATTCCCTTGCGTGTTTCTTTTCTTTTCTTTTGCCGCGGATACAACTAACCCAAAAATGTCTCTAAACCTGTTTTCCAGAAAGGGGGAAAAACTATGTGGACTTGCCATCTCTCCATTGTTGGTGTTCGCATCTGCCCAGATTCTACGCCACTCAGTCTAATTAGGATCAATGTCATCAAGACCCTCTAAAGCCGGCCTCAGGTCGACCCACGATTCGTTTGCGCCACGACGGAACCGTCGGCATCAAATACAAAAGTTATGCTAAAGTCACAAAATTGAAAAATCGTGTGATAGTCGCGGAACACGTCGCAGCAGTTGAAAGTTTTCTACTCTTGCCACTATTGATTTTTGTTGAGCGCCGCCTTATGCCGTTCATTTTAATATCGTCGCAGTTACACTCAGGTCGCACTGAATCGGCGACTGAGTTGTTCGCGACGGTCGTAGCTCAGACGCAGCTTGATAGCAATAATGTCCACCTGTGTTTATAACAAGGCCTTTCCTTCATATTCGTTCAGTGAGAGTACTTCTACCTTGTTACTACCAAGATGCCGAGAAAGACCGTTCAGCGGTTGGATGCATACATTAAGGCAACAGCCGTCGTGTACGACCACTCCAACACCAAACTCATCAGCAGGAAGACTAAAGTCAAACCAAGCAGGAAACAAGCTTTCCTGTCTGGACTGCATTTCGGGAAAACGTCTTCTGATGATTCCTATGCAAAGAGGAGACCATTGAAACGATGGATTCGAAGAGAATCGAGGGGCACTCGGCAAAGTCAAAGGTAAACAGCAATGACATTTACAGAGTCATACATTGAGACAAATAGAAGCTATATGAGAATTGTAACTTTATTTTGAAGGATTTATTTGATGTTTGATTCTTTACAAATAGTTGTTTAAAAGTTTTAAAAAAATTGTACAATTAAATGCAACGCCTTTATTAGAATAATGTCAGTGACAATTGTAGTTTCAAAATAAATTCTTCGTTGATCTCATTCTATTGTTTAATAATTTATTTCTAAAACTACACAGTGTTTCCCCCTATTTTCACAGTAATACTGAAGACGTAAAACAGAAACTGCATCTCTTTGTCCGGACTTCCCACTCAAAAAAAACCAAGACACTTTACTTTGAACTTCATCCCGAGACATCAGTCACATCTCTCAAAGAAACAATCCAGAAGAGAATTGGTGTTGAGGCACGATATCAGCGTCTGTACATCAGGAGAAACTTTCAGGTATAATTTGAAATATCCCATCTTAGATATTGGTGTGATGTGATTTTCCAAATGGTAATATAAAACGTAAAATCGCAAATTTTAATGTTTTAATCAATGTTATTTGTATTGATGATACACACACGTTAAATACACAAACACATTACAATTAATCTCTCCATACTAAATTAAACGAACATAATTTCAATTCACAAATAACGAAAATCCACTGTGTTTCCCCTGATCGTTTAACTTATTTTCAAACAATATTCACTTTGGTAGCTCTTTGACCTACTCACACTTGAGGAGAATGGTGTCGGCAACGATGAAATCATCTCTCTCCATCTTTCAGTAGATGGTCCAAAGGATGACAATGTATCAAAAGGTAAACTACAAAATGTGGGAATATAATTTTCAATTAAATAAACTGTATCTTTATTTGATATATTAATAAAGAAGAAAGGTGCATTTTTTGTTTGTTTTAGCTTTAGGTAATAATATAATTTCTTTACTTTGGTAACTTATACGGTGGTGGACGCATTTGAGAATGTTTCACTAAAGGTTATCTTTATTTTGATAGACAAAGCCAACATTGATGATGAGTACCTCAAGGACTTGTCTTCGAAAAGTGAATCATCATGGAAGGAACTAGCTGAACATCTAGGATATGAAGAAGCGGAAATTGCAGACATCCAATCCAGCAACGAAGGCAGCAATGAAGCTGGCCGTCACATGCTACTCACTTGGTGGGAAAAGACGACGGATCGCAACGAAGCAGCTCAGCATCTGAGACGAGCATTGGAGGCCATCGGGATGACTGATTTGGCCCAAAATGTACCAGGTACGCTAGAAGTGAGGACTAATTTTTCAAATCAGACCACACGCATTTGACAGCAAATATGCCATTAAAAACCTGCTAATTAGCCTCTGAAGAAGAACTTGCTAAGTTCGCAACGTCAGGCCACATTCATTTTAAGAATTAAAAAAAAAATTAACAAATTATTTCAAACCATTTATAAACAATGTGATGCACTCTGTTTTCCTGCTTGTATTAGTAACGAATAAATTAAGAGACGAAGCAGCTGGACCTGAGCCAGGAAGGCGTCAAGATGCAGGAGTTGACGAAGAGAAAAAAGAAAGCAGGGCGGCATCAACCAAGGAAAAGACACAGAAAAAGTAAGACATTTGTGATCTAGTCAAACCTCGGCGTATCATGATCAAATGATTATATTTGTACTGCACATTGCGTTTGAAGAATTACCAAGGCATCACATTTTGTTTTGTAGATAACTAAACTCTTCTTAAAAAAAAAAAAAAAAAAGATTTCCTCACGTAAACAATGGTGTACAAAAATGGTTACAATAATGGTCCATTGTCTTTACCTTCATTACTATACTTTAATTGCCACTTCAACATATCAATAGTGCTTTAACATGCAAAACATTTTCTGACAGTTTCAGTTATGTGCAAGTCTTCATCCGATGTCGCTTGACACATAAGCCCAGAACGCTTTGTTTCCAATTGGATCCAGAGACACCCGTTTTGTGCTTAAAACAGATATTAAACGAGATCATCAGTGTCCATCCACAACAACAACGATTGTTCATCCGGAGAAACTTTCGTAACTTTGAGGTAAAAATGGCACCCTTTTTTTTCTTCAAATTAACCATGTTGTAAAGAATCAACCAATATTCCATTAAAGAAGATACCATGGATCAGATGCTGCTCTGATGTCGGTTCATTTATGTTTAAGCATTTAAGTTCAGAAAAGGATAAATAAATGATTACTGAAAAAAACAATGTTGCTTTAAGCCCACTGATTTTAAATAGTCTCAGTTTGAAAATGCACCACCATTTTGTCCCTAATTACTTTTAAATCCTGAACACCAAGCTTAAGTCTTTCAAAAACCTCCGATTAAGAGAGTATTATATCAAGATCTTAAATTTAAAAAAATGTAATTTGTTTCAGCTCCATAACTTGCTGACACTTCATGACTGTGGGATTCATCAGGACGAGAACATCTCACTCCGTCTGTGCATTGATGGCTTACTGGGCGGTGGACCAAAAGGTAATGCTTATGGGAATCAGTACCTTCAAAATAAGGAAAACAGTGTCATGCTTTTCGGTCGCCTGAAGGTACATTTGGGAGACACTAACCAGCCTTAAACTCTGTATGACCGTGTGACCGTACACTCGCAGACCCGTACTTACCACAGCTACTTGTTGTGTACTTTATATACAAAAGGGAACTTTAGGGAACAATGCTACCCCACTACTCACCCTTAAAAAACGGTACCCTAGAAGTGATATTCTAAAGAAAAGGGATAAAAGGACCACAATGCAAGTTCCCCAGAACTCAAATCTGCTGGAATGTCAGTATATATATGTTAACGTTTAGGATACGTTTTTTTTTAATGTTTAACTTCTACATGCTTTCATGGATTTTAATGAAACTTGGAGGCAGTGAGCCTTGGGTAAAAAGACAAAATTCCTCATCAGATTACAGAGGTCAAAGGTAATGTAGGGGTCATTAGAGGTCATTGTTCACATATGCTTCAATTTCATTGTCTAAAGAATTTAATAGATTTTAATGTAACTTGGATAAAATGTCTTTTAGGCGGGGGTTCATCACAACTCTTCAAACGTTGGAGGTCTAAAGTCATCGAGGGATCATTTGAAGTCGGTTTTTTTTTTAAATGCACAACATTTGACTTAAAAAGAAAACATATAGGGATTGATCACGGCAAGGGGCGGCACCTGCGATCCGCGGATCAGAAGTTTGTAAGGACAATCTTGTTGTTGAAAGTAATGTGCCGCACCATCTCTTTTTTTGATGTAATTTCTAATTAGGGAAAATCTAATGGGGCATTGATATAACATTTAAAGCGTCTAAAAGAGATCAGATTAGTAATTTTGCTTTTTCTTTAAACTGAGTATATGTAATGTCTGAAGGTCATTACCTTTGTATCCAAAAATGCACCAACCAATTAAATATTTATAATAACATATATTGACTAAAGTTTCTTTTTATTTCACAGAAAAACCCTCTGTTGATGATCAGTTCTTTCGGGAATTGGCTATGAAGACTGCATCATGCTGGGAAAAATTAGTCAAGTTGCTTGGATATGAAGAAGCAGAAATCAAGACATTCCAAACCGTCCAATACAACACAGAGAGCAGCATACAGATGTTGCTTTCTTGGTGGAGAAGGCAAACAAATCGAGAGCAAGCTTTTCAGAGTTTGATAGATACGTTAAATTCAATTGAAAGTGACGAGCTGGCTTTAGTGATACCATTAGTTGAGCAACACAAGATGAAACAGGAGGAATTGGGTCATCCAGATGCATCCATACCATCGGTAAAAGTGGTAAGGGCTAAAGAACAGAGCAAGCAGGATGGGACTACATCATCTGAAGACCAGAAACCAGGACAAGAGGTAGTTGGTCGTCAAGACACACCCAAGCAAGGGGTACAAGCGGGAGGGGCTCTCGAACAGAACAAGCAACTGGACACCTTATCAGCATCACAATCTATACTCAGACCTGCTCAATTAGTTTTCGTGGATTCTATGAGCGTCATTGGCAAACGAAGTCCTATCTTTCTTGGAGCAGTAAACAATGCAACATTTCACTTTAC